ATGTAAGTGTACATATAGTAATACAGCATAAGTCTCAACTGAGGTTCACTGAATTTATAAAGCAGTGCTGTTGTATTTCCAAATTTATATAAAACACCAAGGGACTCAATACCCTCTCCTAGAAGTTGGAGTATAAACAGCCTACCAGTTGAGGGTGCTAACAGAATCCTTCTATGGTTATTAACAAGTTTAGAGACAGTATTTGGAAGAGACATCATGTTATATACCAACCTTTAAAATGTCAAAGAAGAAAGTGTAAAAGTGGGGAGACAGGAAATGACAACAAAGTTTTTAAGCAGGAGTAGAACTGTACTGGGTCTTAATGCTGATTTACTTTGAAGGCAATTGTACAGAACCAAATTAGTTTCTGAAAGAAAAGGCAGTGTAGGAAGAGATCTTGCTGTCAGCACATCTTGAGAGAGAAGACGTGAGATACTTTACAAATCAGAAAAAATATCTTTGCAAATAGACAAAAGCATAAGAAATAAGAATAGAGAAAGACAGGAGTATTTTATAAAAGTTCACAAAATGGTTGAGCGTATTGACTTGAGAGTAAGACAGGTGCTGGAAGCTTGTGAGGCTGCATACCTAGGAAAGGTGACAGACTTGGTAGAGTTACTGGAAAGAGGAATGAAATGTTGGGTTTTGTGATCCTTTGCAGGAGGTAGCAACATGTGAAGCATAAAATGACAGAAATAAATTAAGTAGAAAACATGATTTTGTTTGTGTTTACTATAAGTGCTGACTAAAACCTTGACTAGACGTGAGATCAGGAATAAAAAAAGTCATGCTCCTATTTGTGCCCTTACATCTTGCCTTTGACCTTCAGGTAGTAACATAGAGGAGGCTCTCTGTTCTTACATACAGTAGGAATATGTGGATTAAGGAATACACTGGTGTTCTGGTCTCAACTGAAACGTGTTTAACATGCAGTACAAATAGCTGTAAGGGAGAGAAGAGGCATATAAGATATTTCATAACCTTCCAGAATGTCTATATTTTAGATGCATGTTAGTAAACATGGGATTGATTTGGAATTTAATTTGCAGACACCAGAAACCCTGCCTGGACATACCAAAGCAAAACACCATTACAGAGAAGATGCAGAATGGCTTAAAGGTCAGCAAATTGGTCTTGGAGCTTTCTCTTCCTGTTACCAAGCTCAAGATGTAGGAACAGGGATGTTAATGGCTATAAAACAGGTAAATACTTCACTTTCTTGAATATATTTTGCTTGTTCTTCAGTATTTCTTTGAGTTATTAAATATAAAAGCTCTCTGCTCTCATAGACTTCTGTTTCCTACTTCCTCTTCTCCCTGTCATCTGTACTCACATGATACACAATACAAAGTCTTTATATACATGGAGTTAAGATAATGTTTGCAGTTTCTTTTACTTCTCTGTAAAAGGAAAAAAAAAGTACTTTTTATATGCCCCTTTTCTTTCATAGTTCTTCAAATGTATTTTGTTTTTATCAAGTTCACAAATCAGTGATAGGGATAGGAATGGGGTCCAGGTCTCTTGATTCCAAATTGATGCTCTATTTGAAAGATAGCTATTAGAAGTAATTGTCCCTGGTCAAGATTTTTTCCCGAAAAAAGTTTAAGTGGAGGAACTGTAGTTTAATGCTTGCTTCCTTCAATCCAACAGCCAACTTTGAGGCAAGTATTTTTAATATTGAAATTATTAGATACAAAAATGTGACTGAGAAGAGGCCCAAATGCACATGCTTCACTCAAGATTTTTGGAAGGTTCTAGATGTGAGTAAATCTTCCAAGATTTTTGGAAGGTTCTAGACGTGAGTAAATTAAATCTTGGAAGATTTCCCTAGTTTAAGCAGAGAAGAGTGAAGAGGGAAGTTTCCCCACGCCACACTTGGAGAGATTTTTGTTGTTATTTCTCCAGAAGATCACTCTTAATTTTCTATGATTGTCTCACATGGAGATATATGGTCTCAGCCAAAGGGACTTGAGATTCTACATGCTATTTCCAGATGGTGAAAAAGGACAGAAAACCATCCATTCTTGTTACTGTACTGAAGGGGGGTGGTTACAGGACTGGTAATTATGTAAGGTAAATCTGACTACCATATTTCAAAACAGGTGACGTATGTCAGGAACACATCATCTGAGCAAGAAGAGGTAGTTAAAGCACTGAGAGAAGAAATAAGGATGATGAGTCATCTGAACCATCCTAACATTATTCGAATGTTGGGTGCCACGTGTGAGAAGAGTAACTATAATCTCTTTATTGAATGGATGGCAGGTAAACAACTGCATGCTAAAGAAAATGAACGTATCAGTTGAGTCCTGAACTATAGTTTCATACTGCAAAATATTCCATGCATCACTTCAGTTTGCAAACTTATATTTTTATTGCTGTTGGTAAGCAGTATAAAAGTTTAGTTCCAGAACAGTTTAAGTAGTATTCTTACTGGCATCCTTTTTTGAATTTGATTTTTCCATACCGAACCTGTCATACAATTAAAGTAATTGGAAGCCTTGAACAAAGATTCTACTACTACCTCAGTTTCTGAATTTAAATGAGGAGTTATGTATTGGGTTTGCATGGCAAGGTTTTGGGGGGGAGATGCTGCAGGGGTGGCTGCTGTGAGAAGATGCTAGAAGCTTCCCCTATGTCTGATAGAGTCAATGCCAGCTGGCTCCAAGAAGCCCCAGTGCTGCACAAAGCTGATCCAATCAGCGACAGTGCCTCTATGATAACATATTTAAGGGGAAAAAAACATACTGCATGACAGCAGCCGGAGAAGAGAGGAGTGAGAATATGT